CAACGGGCGACGCGCTAGCTCCAAGTAGTGTCTCCCTGCGTCCAGTCACCCGCGCACATACTTGTGTCGTCTTGCGTACTATCGATATCGAAAGTGTTAGCGACTACCTGTTATACAATATTTAAAAAAAAATATATATATATATATATATATATATATATATATATATATATATATATATATATATATATATATATATAAAGTAAATAATTATTCAATAAACCTGGCACTTAAGACTTAAATATTGATATCGGTATTAAGAGTATGAAATATTTTATGAGATTTGTAAAACTTAGCAGGATCTATTGAAAGATGACTGTAATTATGTAAAGAAAAAGAGAGGTTCAACTAGTCCCGGAAAAAACACATGTTTCTTCATAAATTTAAGTACATATATATTTTAAATGAAATTAAAAAAATCAATAATATCATTAAACACTGTATTTAATAAACTTTCTTACAGTGTATTACACTTCTTTATACATTATCATCAAAAAAAAGTTATTAACAATAAAATCACGTATGTCGTCTTGAGACAAAACATAAATTACAAATACAAAATATTTTACCTCTTTAACTAAGTGTACACAAAATACAGAATATTCTTTAGCAGCAATTAAAACCTAACGATTATATATAAGTACGTTTTCGTAGAGACTTTGATGTGTAGTTATAATGTCGACCTTTGACTTTTTACATATTAAAATGTCATAATACAGTTTGCATTTTTCTGCTTGATTATACATGTTATACACGTTAAATAATATCATCATTCGCTCTCGGTTTTCATCGCGATACCTACGAGACCCTTTGACTCGAGCGCAAAAAACCGACACGCTTCCGAGAGCGCACGAGGGACACGAGACGCGACGCGACGCGACGAGAGCACCCTGTACACACTCGTACTCGCCCTGTCTAGACATGGGTCGTAACGTCTTGGACGTAATCGGTTGTACGTAGTTTCGTGGATATGAGTAACTAGTTTCAAAACTGCTTATTTTTGTAATTAGTTACATATGTATACAGTATAGCGTAGGTTAGTTTTGCGTTTGTGTTATGTTATAATTACGAAAATATTAACATATTATAGGTAGGTATTATAATATTAGTTTAACTGTGTTATGTTATGATTACGAATACGTAACAGGTTATAGGTATTATAACATGTGCGCGACATTGTCAATATTAGTACCTTTGTACAATTTTATACAGTCACAAAATATGTAAGTATTTAAGTATTATTGTCCATCACATCACATAATTATTATGATCCACATAATACACAAAAATTAACTTAATACAAAAAATATTTATTATTTATTTACACCAATTATATGTCTGTTTATGTACACTAAATATTTATATACACTTTAAATGTTTATTCACAAAGAAAACTATACATGTTATAATATTTATAAAGGAAAACGCGAAGTTTTTAAGAACAATGTTAAATAACGCTCGCCTCTAGGCCTGTCTCGTGGTGTCTCGACGAGCGTGTACAGCCGGCAAAAATTGAAAACTGGTAGGTACATAATAATGAACTTTCGATACAGGTAGTACATTAGGTACTTAACTACTTTAATTTGCTAACCAACGAAAACATCTCATAGATAAGCACGATTATCGAAAATCTTAAAATTATCTATTAATTTAATTAGAATAGGTAATTTTTAGATTTTCGATAATCGTGCTTACGTACCTATAGCAATCTCATATTCTAATATACCTAATGTAATTTATGTAAGTACATAAGAATCTAAGAAGGGCAGTCAATGATAAAATGTGTTTTGTAAGTTGTTTTTTTTAAAACACTTTAACACAACAAAAACATGAAACTGAGAAGAAGCACCCGATCTGCCGAAACAAACTCAGAGAGGTCAGTGCAGGTATTACATTGGTCATGTCATACGAGAACCAGGCTAATATGGTCCTTTGAAGAAAGAATCATACAGATGTGAGTGGACAACTTAGTACTTTTTAGGATTCCGTACCCGAAGGGTAAGCAGGGCCCTATTACGGAGCCTCCGCAGTCCGTGTGTCTGTCTGTCTGCGGGCTGCATCTCATGATCCGTAATGGGTAGATGGTTGTAATTTTCAAAGAACGTGTATTTTTGTTGCCGCTATAACAGCAAGTGGTAAAAATAAATTTTAAATTAAAGGATTTTCTACTAGAAAAAGAAATGTGTATTTTTGGCTGTTTTTGATCGATAGTAATTATGTATAGGTATTTAAATCTTGTAATCTCGGAAGCTCGGAAGTCCGATTCGCACTTGGCAAAATATTTGTTTATATTTAACCTTACCTCAGACATACTCATATTTTTTATATATAATCTACTATACTACTATATAAGCTACTACTAAATAAAATAGTAGTAGCTTTGCTATGGTATTATAGTATATTTTGGATTAGATTTAATTTATTACAGAATAATACGAACTATATAAAAACTAAGGAGCGCATCAACCTACCTCAGATATTGGGTTATGAATACAGATAAGTCCACATAGGATTTAGTTTCTAAGTTGTACATATTTTATAGCCTTCGTTATCAATAGCATAAACAGGCCAAGCCCCCTAGCCTACAAACGTTTCGTAACGAATTTCTTTCTACAATCGTGCCTTTTATTTGTTTGGACTGACCACCTGACTCGTTCAGTGATGTCATTCCCATACAGTGTTTAGTTTTCAACTAGCGTTATCTACTATCATAAAATAATTCAAAATTTTATTTATATTTTGCTAATTGTGTCTGTACTGTGAATTTGATTTACAATCGATCTCTAAATTGTAGTTTTCTTCTAATTACTTACCTTGCTTAGACGTGTTCTTTGGACTTCTGTAAGGAAGTCTGTGCTGTTAGTCCTATTCCGTTTAGGTACGTTACTATTTTAGTAGACGTTTGTACTTGTCCCTGCAGTGACACAATTCCTATTGTTGATAACTTTCTAAGTACTAAGAGAATATTGAAAACCACCATTGAACACAAACAATCCATAAACAATTTACAAACTAACATTTTTTATTTATTTAATTAACCTATATAAAAGCCCCACTCACATCAAAATCGCGCTGTCAAAAAATCAGTTATCCTGACACTGGCTGGCATATACTTCGGGGAGTTGCCTGTGGGCTATTATAGCTAACTAGCTATGGAAAGTAAATACCTATTTAGAATATATAGTACTTACAGTAATATTTTCATAACCTACAGTAAAATACAAAACACAAAGAACACATAATTAGTTTACACTTTTTTGTGTTTGTTTTTGAAATTGTTATATTTTTTTCAAAAAAAGTTTTTTATGTTACCGTTTTTAGTTGAGAGTTATGCCCCTTTAGGGGGTACAGGCGTGATATTATATTGTGTGATTGTGTAAAGAATGCATAGATAGGCGATAGCAGCAATCGCGGTTGATTTGCTGTCATTTATTGAAGAGTGCCCCCGATTTCTCCAAAATCCCATCATCAGATCTTGATCTGACCATCATCGATGACCGTGGGATTATCTGGAAAATATATCCTTTCAAACAAAAAAATAATTTTCCAAATCGGTTCAGGCATCTTCGAGAAATCGGGGGACAGAACATACATAAACAAAAACCAAGGAATTGATAACCACCTCTATTTTCGAAGTCGGTTAAAAAGCAGGTAAAAACAAATCAATGGAATTATTATATAATAACAACATCTACTTAAGTTCACATAAGAACTTTCATAATAATTAATAACAACTAAGTACATAAATTGGGTTCATAATAATTACGTTTCACACAGCAGATCCTAAGTTATAATAACACCAATTTGTTTTCTCTCTCCTTTCTCTTTTTAAAATACGTTGCCCCCACAGTAGGATTTTCTCCAGTATCGTGGAGGCGGTTTACAAACATAAATTGCACAAGGACAAACATCCAGACCCGGAACAACTATTTGTAGGCCATACAAATATTTGTTCCGTGCGGGATTTGAACCCGCGGCGCCCAGCGCAGCCTCATTGCTAAGCCACTGATACAGAGCTCACATTGCGTTTATGTTATTATAGTAAGGGGTTTTTGATCTTCTTACTGCTCATCACAACGTCTATCCCTTTCGCACGTGATGTCGGCTCAGATAGCATGCATTTTTACCCCGCCCACCACTTAGTTCGTGCCATCGACTAGGGCAACCTTAAATCAATAAATTAACTCTAAATTACAGTTTAGTTAAAAATGTTAAACATGTTTATTTGACATTTTGATTTGTTAAAATATGTATAAATACTTGTATAAAAATACTTTCATTGCATTTTACACTTAATAAATAATTTTTAGACGTTACTTTAGCGACATTGAGTAAACGAAAGAACATATTATTTTTATTTTGGGGTTAGTTTCCTCTGCCAATCGATATACAATAAGGTTTCTTATTTCACCCTCGTAGTATTGAACCCCTGTCAAAGTGCCACCCTATACTTCGACCCTTCTTACAACACGAATCTAATCATATCGGAAGGTAATAAAATTTGAACCATTAGACATAGTAACAGAGTTAGAACTAGATTTTTGCCTAAAACACTAATTAGGTTATACTTATATGCTATACGCAATATCGATTTAATCAATATCAATATAATTGTAAGAACGTATTTTTAACATAGTATAATATAAAATTGATAAATTCGTCCAATGTGCTTGTTGAAATAGCTGAGTATATTGTTATTTACATACCGGTCCTAATATTGTGTTTATAATCTTACATAAATTATATTTCAATCAATCAATGCTGCCGCGTTATGTCAACCAAGTTCGAACTTTCCGATAAGGACACGGCTTCCCGACTGCCGATAACAAAGCGCCCGGCTCGTTACTGACTCACTTCAGCTAGAGCTTTCGATAGATAACCACGTATTTTGATAATTGTTCGGCACTGTATGGGTGCCTTTTGTATTTGTTTGGGAATTGAATTTGTATTATTTTATGTGAAAGCGTGGTTGTTTTTTATTACATTTAGCGACCGATAAAATGACTGCGTTCATACATAGAAGGAGGCTGTTTGAAGAAGTACGTATTCGTATTATTCCTCATATTTTTGTTAAAACTTTTAGTATATTAATGTATAATATTCTTGAACGGATTAGTTTTTAATAATTTTATAGGACATGATTGTCACAAAAGATATTTTTTGTTTTGACGGCTCTGTGTCGTAGTGACTTAGCAATGAGTTGCAGCGCTGAGAATCGTGGATTCGAATCCCGCACGGATCAAGTATTTGTTGTATGACCTACAAATAATTGTTCAGGGTTTAAATGTCTATCCTTATGAAATTTATGTATGTAAATTACCCAAACGCTGAAGGAGAAATTCCTAGTGTGGAATGTTATAAAAAAAAAGAATTAAGAAAAGAAAAAAAATCCAAAAGTAAACTAGTAAAAATCGTAATACTAACTTCGCAAATATCCACTATACCGAATGGACGATTCCTTATAATGTTTCCCAAGTTAGATTACAGTTTCATATTTACAAGCCCATACCCCGAGAAGCTTATTAAATCATTCGTCCTGCACCTGATCTCCGGTAATGTCGGATTGCCGTCTTTTGGCACTATAATCCTGTCCTGAGAAATTTCGAGTCTACGAAATCTGACTTCCGCCAAGTTTAAAAACTTAAGATTGTATAGAAATTGGGAATGCAGTGATCGCTAGCAAGTTGTTTCTAAATTGTTTTGCATTTTTAGTTATAGTGTAACTTTAATGATTGTAAACTGTTCTTTTGTTTTTTCAAAAAAAAAAAATGTCTCGTTGGATTTCTTGCTGGCTGTTCCCAGGACAAAAAGTTGTACTGAAAGATATTGAATAAATTTATTTTTAATCTACTTTCAATCTTAAATTTTTATAACTGTGCCTCTAGAAATAGGCAGTAACAACAAGAAACTGATAAATCTTGTGTTTTTAATTATTCGTTTTTAATTTATTCTGGTATTATTCAAACCAAACTGTAAATGATTACCAACTCTAAATAATCGATATCGATCTTTTTAAGAATCGAATATTGTACGTTCCAATTTTTTGGTTGGCATGCTTGGTGCAATAAGTCTGACAGCTGTCAAAATGTATTTCTTAGATTTCGTTGATTATAACATTCTTGAAATTTCACTACCAGCAAAAGTCCTAGATTATAGTGAAATATTTTTTGTTTTTGGTATACTTACTTTAATTAAAGTTCTTAATAGTTATTTCAATGGTAAAACTTTTCCCTACTCAAAATACTAGCGCTATATTTGCATAATATAAAATAATCAATTAATATTTTGCTTTTTGTATACTATTTTTGAAGGAGGATTCGAATTCCGGTATTCCGGAACTGTAGTGCTTAATATTAAAACCCAAATCCGGAATTGAAAAATGGTCCGATACTCAAGCCCTGACATACCTCTCTCGCCTCCTCCACATCCATATACCTACGCATACATGCTCGTCGGGACAGAGGTATTTTCCGAACCAGTAGTACATTAAAGACGGTCAAAGGGAAATATTTCCTCCAAGGTCCTGTACACTCCTCTACATTTTATGATGAATTATTCTCTGTTATAGGAGTAAGACCGTGGAACTCGATTAAAAGTGCTCAATCCTTACATTTGTTCAAGAAACAAATTAAAGATCTTTTAATTTCAATTTATCTCCTTCGTGGTATTTATGGTCACTGACCTACCTAAAGCGTGTTGCATTTTAACTAACTTAAAAAGAGGAGTTAATCATTTTGACCGCGTTGTTCTTTTTATGTGTGTTACCTCAGAACTACCTTTTTTCTAGGGAAACTGATTTTGATTTTTTATTTGAAAGCTTATGCTTCTCATGTGGTCCCATATAAATTTGATCAAGACGTGATCAGTAGTTTTTGAGTTATCCTTAACAATACGTTTTTAATTGACTTCGAATAGTTCTCATTTTATTTATATTGGAGTCGGTTGTACAAAATTTTCTAATTTTACCACTTTTTAGTGCATAAGTTGGTATCCGTTCTTATGTTAGTGCACCTTACCCGACAATTTTCTCATGTTTTTATTTCTTTCTTTTTCCATCTTAGTCACGGTTGACAACGCATCTGCATTTTGATTCGTAATCGAGGATATATGTAGATGTCTCTGGGCTACAGCATTCACTTACCATCAGGTGGACTGTGTGCTCGTTTGTCATCCTATCTATATAAAAAAGTATTGTTTTGTATTGTAGATTAAACATAAGAGTGACTTTTAATAAGTATTATTTAAAATCTATATTGAGAAAAAAGTTTCCTTTCGTATTTAATATTAAGAATTTGTCGACTTTATAATAAGATATACATGAAAAGCTCCGGCTAGGTTATTTTTGACCTAAGATCCAGGATATTAAAAAGTGCTGTTAAACGGTTTATGTTTATACAGACTCATTCCTATATCACATATGTTTTAAATTTGTCGTTTGTTTACATTAAATTTGTTGTGTTACGCAGTTATGTATGTCATAAATATTGCAAAGGGAAGAGATGATCCCTCCTGTGGTAAATATAAATTGATGTGCCAACATAATTAGGATAACAATCCGGTAGAAAACTTTTAAATACTTAAGTGCTTTTATTTATTTATTTCGACCAACAAGGACCATAGAGTAATATTTCATTTTTTCAAGTTAATTTTATTATAAAAATTTTAAATCATTACTAAATACTAAATCGTTACTATATAATACGTGGTAGAGCCATGCTGCAGTTATATTAGTAGTATGGTTGTAGCACGAATGGGTCGGCTCTACCGGGAAAGGACCACGCTCTCACAGAATACCAGCGTAAAAATGCTGCTGTGTTTCGTATGATGAGTGTAGAGAACCGTTGACACTTTTTACTGGAAGCGTGGCATTCCATCTTAGTGCTCACGGGTCAAACGCATCTACATTTTTATGCGTAAAACACTCACGCCTGTCACCCAGAGGGGTAGGCAAAGACTACAGGCTTCCATTTAGCACGATCCTGACTAGGGCTTGAGCTCCGGAATTCCGGAATCAACAAAATTCTGGAATTACGATATGTTTCAGTATCAATTGTAATACCGGAATTGGTGTGATCAAAACCGGAATCCGCATTCCCGCTTCCCCACCCCGCCGAGCCTCAGGCACGCTATTCGTTCACTTATTATCACCAAAGGGTTCTAGACTTAACTGCGATGCCTATCGACGAGAATGCAATTGAAATACTTGAAGCTTCACACGAAAGCCTTCATGTCGTTAAGATAACCGTTGAGTCACTTTGTAAGAGAGACACTAATTTGAGTTGATACTGCCCTTAAATTCATGTTAGCCTAAGGCTAACATGAATTTACCACTCAAAGATAGTCATCAAAACTGTAACATAAGCAAAAATCTGGCACAAACACTTAGGAACCTCATTAAGGAAAGACGTCTTCCTACAGCGTCTGTATTGACGTATTTTTACAATCCAGAATATTATGACGAGGATAAATTTTATCAAGAGACATTTTTGCGGCCGCATATGGAATACTATTCCCATCTCTGGGCTGAGGCTCCCCAGTGCCAGCTCCTTCCACTTGACTGCATCCAGCGCAGAGCGGCTCGAATCGTCGTTGACCGAGTACTTTCCTATGAGCTCGATTCACTGGCGCTGCGAAGAGATGTTGTATCTCCTTGCATTTTATTTCGCATCTACCACGGGGAGTGCTCTAAGGAATTGTTTCGGATTAATCCCAGCCGCCAAATTTCATTAACGCACATCGCGGCAAAATTCCCGATACCATCCACACCATCTGGATGCTTGGCGGTCCACCACTGTACGTTTCACTAGGAGTTTTCTTCCGCGTACGACATCTCTGTGGAATAGTTTACCATCGGCAATTTTTTCGGACCGATACGACTTAGGAACCCTTAAGAGCTTACTCCTTTCTAAAAGACAGGCAACTAAACTGCAATTCCCCTGGTGTTGCGGTTGATCATGGGCGGCGATAGTCACTTAACATCAGGTGCTCACCTGCGTTTGCCCCCTCTCCTATATAAAAAAACGAAAAGTACGATGACGAACAGTTTTGATTTTGAAAGCTTAATGAGAGTGGAAATGGCAGTTTTTTTTTTTGGTATACTTATTTTAATTAAAGTTCTTAATAGTTATTTCAATGGTTAAATTTTTCCCTACTCAAAATACTAGAAATATTTTGCATTTTGTATGCCATTTTAAAGGAGGTTTCGAATTCCGGAACTGTGGTGCTTAATATTGAAACCCAAATCCGGAATTGAAAAATGGTCCGATACTCAAGCCCTGACTCTATATTTTATCTCTCTATACCTCTCTCACCTCCTCCACATCCATATACCTACCCATACATGCTCAAGGGTCATACACGGTGAAGGGTACTCTTAATTTGGCCCATTTTATTCATAATAATACTTAAAATATAATAATTATTTAATAATAGTAAAATAATATAAACCAATGTCGCCGTAACTCAACAACCCCGATTCAATTAATAAAACCTCTAACAGAACTCATCTTAATGATAGATGTAATAATAATAAAAAAATCCTTCATTGCAAACCAAAATTTGTTAAAGATACGCAGAAAATGTCTTAAAATCCATGTAAGTAAAAGTAGGTAATAAATTAAATAAACATTACTTCAAGGGGTGCTTCACCGTGGCACTAGGTACATGGACATAAACATCCACCCAGTGCCTCAAAAATGCGCACTGTGATTTTTCGCTAATTATGTTTCTAAAGTTAAATTTGGAATATATCTGGTTTATTGTCCACAAAATAATATTAAATAAAAAATAAATTTGTATTTGCTTTTGTGCCGTCGGCAGCTGTCGATGAAGGAGTGGGACATCCCGTACGACGAGCTGAAGCTGTTCGAGGTGATCGGTACGGGGCGGTTCGGCACCGTGTACCGCGGCAGCTGGCACGGTGCGGTGGCCGTTAAGCTGCTGCACGTGCACTCGCTCACCGACCACTGCCTGCAGCTGGACACCTTCAAGCACGAGGTACGTGCCTTCGCCTTCACTCGTCAAGCTGCTGCACGTGCACTCGCACACCGACCACTGCCTGCAGCTCGACAACCTACAAGCACGAGGTACGTGCCTTCGCCTTCACTCGTCAAGCTGCTGCACGTGCACTCGCTCACCGACCACTGCCTGCAGCTCGACACCTTCTAGCACGAGGTACGTGCCTTCGCCTTCACTCGTCAAGCTGCTGCACGTGCACTCGCTCACCGACCACTGCCTGTAGTTGGATACCTCCAACCGCGAGGTACGTGCCTTCGCCTTCACTCGTCAAGCTGCTGCACGTGAACTCGCTCACCGACCACTGCCTGCAGCTCGACACCTTCAAGCACGAGGTACGTGCCTTCGCCTTCACTCGTCAAGCTGCTGCACGTGCACTCGCTCACCGACCACTGCCTGTAGCTGGATACCTCCAACCGCTACGTACGTGCCTTCGCCTTCACTCGTCAAGCTGCTGCACGTGCATTCGCTCACCGACCATTTTAGCCTGCGAGAGAATAAGATAGAATGTAGTATACAGTGTTTCCTATTATATACTTTAGTTGCCATAAGCCACTCGGTGCCACTTGTTTAAATTGAAAGCTTTCAGTCTGTATAATACATAGAATACTATAATACACAATAGAATGGCTGTCAATCTTATTTTGTAAGAGGATTAGCGTCGCCGGGAGCACACTTACAAACAATTACGTCATATTGTCAGTTATCACTACTATAAATACATTTTAGACTTTTGATTTATGTTTTTGACACATAAATATTTCTTTATTTTTGTTACTGGTTGTAGAATATGTCTCCTTTATTTAAATTCCATTTCCCGCTGTTCTTTCAACACGTGATTATTGCACAATTTGCCATTTTTTTAAATAATTTGCATGCAGTGACGCTTGACACGAAAGTTGGAAACGATTGATTGTGTGAGTGTGAATTGACATGTTAGTGGCTACACGGGCTCCGGCCACTCCCCCGTTCTATTATGTATGTATTATAGTATTCTATGGTATAATATGTTATGTAGTAAGTAAATAACAAATATAAAGTAGTTTTTAAACTTAATAACAATATTATAGTTGGTTGAGCGACGGGCCTAGGGGTTCCCGAGTTCGATTCCCAGGTCGAGCCTTGACCCTATTGTGCGAGATGTTACTAGGTGGACTGTATACGCGGGCGGCTTCTTGTGCCTCAACAAGATGGCGGACGTGGCACGCGACAACCTTGGACAATGCACTCGCTCTTTCAAATCTATTGCTTCGCCAAGATTGGGCGGAAGTTCTACTTGAGCCGATAAGGAGAAAAAAATGGTGCGGCTAATCCGCCCCATTTTTTTCTCCTAATAAAATAACAAACAAAAAGGCTCAAGTAATCAATAGTAAATAAACCCTACAATTGTACTACTCTTGATACTCTGCATTAGTCTTATTCACTCGAATTTTAATTTTCTGAAGGTTTCACTTCTACCGCGTGTGTATTGCATATTTTTTTAAGAAGAAAGTGTAACAAACACACACAGTACGTAGCCCCTAAATTCGATTTCGCCTTTATAAGTAAAATATTAGATTAGAAACTTCCACTTTATGTAAGCAGCATTATTTTACGCTGTTATTCTGTAAGAGCGTTGACCTACCCCGTTTAAGGCCGACCCATTCGTGATGAAACCATAAAACATTTTTAATTTATATTTTAGAATTGGAGCCCATACTGCAGCTATATTATGGTTGTAGTATGTATAGGTTTGCTCGACTTGGGTAATTCTGTGAAAAATCTAAGACTTTTTTACTGTTAAAAAAACATTGTACATACATACTGTGAGGTAAAAATGTATGTATGATATGTATATATATATATGGAGACGGAACAGTGATGTGTGTGGTTGTGTGCAGGTAGCGACGTTCCGCAAGACGCGGCACGAGAACCTGGTGCTGTTCATGGGCGCGTGTATGAAGCCGCCTCGCCTCGCCATCGTCACGTCGCTGTGCAAGGGCATGACGCTGCACACGCACATCCACCTGCGCAAGGACAAGTTCACCGCCAACAAGAGCGTGCTCGTCGCGCAACAGATCTCGCAGGTGCCGCGCCACTTCATACCCAGTACCCCCCTACACACTACACCTTTCTTTTGTTATTATTGTCATCTATGCTCATGCAAATACTAATATAAGTGCTATAGAAAAGTAGACTCTCATAACACACGTTAACACGTTAACAAAAGGAGACCCATCGCCCCGGTTATAATTTATGTATAATAATTTACCGAATGTTTTTTGATTCTACATTAGTCATCATCATCGTCATTACAGTCCCTCACAAGTCCACTGCTGAACACAGGGCTCCCCCAAGGAATTCCATAAAAGCACGGTCCTGAGCCACCTGCATACATCGACTTCCTGCATGTGTTACCAGGTCGTCACACCATCTAGTGGGGGGTCGCCCTACACTTCGCCTACCTGTACGAGGCGTCCACTCGAAAAACCTTTTTTCCCATCGGTTGTCGATTCTTCGAGCTATGTCTATTATGTTTATGCTATATAAATATTGTATTATGTCTATTATTAATATTGGGGTATTAATATAGTTTTCTCATTTAATTATTTATTTAAACTTCGTTGAATAAATATGAATTGTATTAGAAAAAATTAAGTATAAACAAAATATCTATATGAAAAATAACATCTGTAGAGGCTCTATAAATATATGTCGGAATATACGACAGGATAAGGCCAATTCTAATATAGGAAATACAACAGAGAATACTAATTCTGATCTCGCAAATACATCAGGATAGCAGTAATTATTAAAAAGGTATGTGTGAGAACAGATGTTCAACTTGCTCTCTTGGTTACGCAAATAATCATTATCAATAATAATAAGGGGATAAGTCGCTCGCACCCGTAGGCTTCGACAACCTAATCCTAGATCCACTCTACACGTGTCAGTTTTAACAGAAGAAGCACGAGAGTAGAATAAATGCAGTAGAAATGTGGTCGATAAGAAGTATGTTAGGGCTTAATCTGAGTGACAGGGTGAGAAATTGTGTGATAAAAGAAGAAAGTGACCACGTTTAAGAAAGAAATGCTTCGGTGGTTTGGTCATGTGGAGAGAATGATTGAGGAAAGAGTGACAAAGAAAATTTATGTTGCAGAAGTCAACGGCGGAGTCGGAAAGGGACATCCTACGCGAAAGTTTATCGATCGAATTGGCGATATATTGAAAACGGGCCAAATTACCGAGTACCCTTAACCGACGAGCATGCATGCGTAGGTATATGGATGTGGAGGAGGCGAGATAGGTGTGTCAGGATCGTGCCAAATGGTAGTCTGTAGTCTCTGCCTACCCCTCTGGGTGACAGACGTGAGTGTTTATGTGTAATAATAAGACAGCGTAACGCACTATAAAATCCGTAAAAACTAGTATTATTTAAACTTGGTCTCAAATTATACGAAATCAAATCGTTATTTAAACTAACCATCAACATTATTAACATATAGTCAGTACGTATCTATTATTACTTTCAATGTTATCAGAGACAGCTCAAACGAAAAACGAAAAAGAAACTCCAAAATTCCTTCGCATCGCTATTATTTAATAAAAAAACAAGACTAGGAGATAGAATTATTAATTAGAAAATTATATTAAGGCGCTACTCCTAGCGAACGACCTCGAGGTCCTATACAATCCACGCGCTCTCGCTACAATATAGCGCGTAAGATATACACCCAAATTTTTGGAATTATTTCAATTAATAAATAATAAAAATATGTGTGGCACTCAGGGACTGCCGCGGTAAAGCTATTGCATAGCATTTTTATCAACTTATGAAATTATAATTATTTATTTATTTTATTTATGCATTATTTTTTTATATTTGTTAGCAAAAATGTTTGCTCCATGCGGGAATTGAACCCGTGATCCGCGACGCTGTATTCGGGTGGTTCAGCCACTGCGCCAACGTGTCACCAAAAATAATATCTAAATTTAAAAAATATATTTAAGTATAAAGTCTGTGTTTATTAAATATTCTAAATTCACGAACGTTGCTAGCATGACGACGACTCATAAATCCAAAGAATATGCTTCTTGCAATAAACTATATTATTGTTTAAAATATTTTTATTATCTTACAATGCAACTAGTCTATACGCATACGTCTAGTCGCACGCACACAAACACCGTGCCGAAGTCTGCCGAACTGAAACGACGTTAGACGATGTTAGGTTTTGGAGTCTTAGGTTTATTTTCGTTACGGAATTTCTTGATTCGGTCGCCGCGTTCAAAGCCCTCGATAAAAGCTATGCAATAGCTTAAAAGTGAACTTAAGAAATTAAACAAAACGTGCATAATATAGATTTTTGAATTATCTATCAATTAGTGTAATCCTCAAATGATTAGAGCGTTGCCTTTAGCAACAGATGCATGTAGTAATCAATAATTTTAGTAATTTTTTAAAAGTTGATTTTAAATGTATTTATAATACATAAAATAAAATTAGAAAGTGGAATGTGATGATAGGTTATCGAACATTAATAATTTGCTTTTAGATGTAGTTTATTTCTCATAACTAATGAGATAGTAGTCTCTGAAAAACGCACTATCGCAAGGTTTTGGTCGGGGTAGCGCCTTAAGCAAATTTATGATTGCTTTCCGTTAAGACTCATTACTCCTAACTATCCTATTTATTATCAGTCTAATAATTCTATTCGTTTTATTCTTGCAGGGTATGGGATATCTCCACGCGCGGGGTATCATCCACAAGGATCTCAAAACAAAAAACATATTCCTCGAGAATGGCAAAGTTGTGATCACAGACTTCGGCCTGTTTAGCGTAACTAAACTTTGTTTCGGAACCAAGTAAGTGTCCAAACAATTTATTTAACACTTTTTTGTTAATAAAATGGACACATTAATGACTAATTTATAAAAAAAACTAGAAAAAAACCCAAATAGGGAGTTGATTACGGCCATAGCTCGGAACTATTGCAAATGAGTTTATCGTAGATGTTATAGTGTAAGTGCAGTGTGGATAACATAGCATCATAATCATTATGCTTAAAAAAAGGGTTTTGTATAAGATCATTTTGGCTACTTTAAACGCAGGACCCTTGCTTGATATAGTCGCCAGGTTGAACTTAATATTGGCCACATAACATAGTACTTAAACACTGATAATAACTATCTATTGTACCTGTATGTCTATGGAAGTAAAATAAAGCAGAATGTATTAATAGAGACTAGCCATTTGCGGAAGACAGGATTAAAAGGGTTTACTAGATGGGTAAAATATCCTTGCCAGGTCGAGTCGACCCATTCGTGCTGCTACAATAACACGATTGCAATGTGGCTTACATTAATAATTACTAATTAGTTGGAATGCCTCACAGCCTGAAATTATACTAGCTCTTAATACACTTCAAACCGAATCACAGCAATGTAAGGCGTACATTACACGCTCATGCGGGCGTCAATCAATCCATCAATCATGATTGATAAAAAACGGATGGTGACTGACAGGCGTACATTATGCGCTCATGCGGGCGTCAATCACTGAATTAGACTGTAGGTTATTCGTCAATTACAACCGTGATTCTTGTAAAACTGACAGCCTGCATGAGCGTGTAATGTACGCCTTATATTATTTGGCGACAGAACTAAGTAACAGGGTAGACGGATTTCTTGGCCTGCCAAGTTGGAACCCACCTGGGCTCGCCACACACAAACACCTAGGAAATATCGTGCAGAAACTTGCATGTCTCAGAAATATTTGGAGTGCGTATGAAGTCCGCCAACACAGTCGTCGCGCAGTGGCTTAACAGTGTGAAATGCGAGGAGGGAGCGTTTGATTGTGCGTTCGTGTGCAGCGGTGGTACTGTGGACTGTGTGTGTGTGTGTGTGTGTGTGTCCAGCGATATTACTGTGGACTGTAGGTGTGTGTACGTGTATGCGTGGGTCCAGCGTTAGTACTGTGAACTGTAGGTGTATGTGTGTGTGCGTGCAGCGCGCGCGGCGACAGTCTGGGCATCCCGCCGGGCTGGCTATGCTACCTGGCGCCCGAGCTGGTACGCGCGCTGCGTCCGCACGCCTCGCTGCATCTGCCCTTCTCCAAGGATACAGACGTCTACGCATTCGGGTCAGTTTACTAATACACACCCACCGCACACGACATACCACATCACTCACCTCACACCACTTCACTCACCACAACCCACATCACTCACCACACACGAAATCACTTACCACACGCCACATTATTTATCACACGCCACATCATTCATCACACGCCACATTATTCACTACACACCACATCACTTACCACTCACCATATCTCTCACCGCACACCATTTAACTCACTACTCGCCACATCACTCACCACACACCATATCAATCACCACAGACCTCATTATTCGCCACACACTACATCACTTACCACTCACCACTCACCACATCTCTCACCGCACACCATTTCACTCACCGCACACCACACCACTCACCGCGTACCACATTACCCGCCACACACCACATCAATCTCCACACACGACACCACTCGCCACACACCACATCACTCGCCACACTTCCACCACATCACATCGCCACACACCACATCACTCGCCACACACCACATCACTCACCGGCTCACAGCACACCACATCACTCACCAGCTCACCACACACCACATCTCTCACCACACACCAAATCGCTCACAACACTCCACTTCACTCATCTCATGCCACATCACTCACCACACGCTAATATAGCGTGTTACACCACATTTCAAACATCACACATCACACACCACTCATTCACCGCTCACCACACAGTACACTTCACTCTTCATACACTACACAACACCCACCACACTACAAAACACCCATCTCACAGTATATAACACCCACCTAACATCCAGCATACTACACCTCTTGCTACGCTACACCACACTCACCATATACCACTTACCACTCTCCACACCATCCACATACGTTACTCTGCACACAATACACTACATCCACTACTCACCACTCACCATCCACCACAGACTATACAACACCCACCACACACCGCCCATCACGTACCACTGGCTATAAACTACTCGCTACACACGACTTACCACATCACAAATCAGTCACCACATCCCACATCACTCACCACACACCATTCACTAACAACCACAGACCACTACACTCGACACTTTTTATGAAGATCGATGGCATACATTGCGAGTGGCAAATATACAAATCCACACACTTAGGAAAGTATCTACAGATTTTCCTGACATGATCGATCTTATTGAGGTTCTTGGCTTCGCTCTGATCAGTTCAATCGACGAATTCTAACCTGATTGAACGCGTCAACCTCACTAGAACGGTGCGCTGGTGCGTTATAATGCATAGGAATCGATTCCTCTCCCAATGCAGTTGGTCTAGGTTCATCATCATCCTTATTATCACTACAGCCAATCACTGTCAACTGATTGACATAAGGAATGCCACAAAACATTCTCACAAAACAAGACTCTGTGTCTTTTTCTTCCAGAGTTTGACCTTTTAATGGTTCCCTTTACCTGATACCGCTGCCCGATCCTTTGAATAGTACGACTTACATTTAGCTGCTGTGACTGCTACAGCCTCCTAGCAACGCTACAATTTTAGCAACTGTTATTCTTTCTTTATCTATATTAAAAGACAAGTTACAAATCGGTTTAAAATGTTCAAAATTATATTGACGTCTGCAGACAATTGATACGATTTGAGCTACCTATTAAATATTAAATTTTGGTTTTAAAATAATATGCCAGTAAAAGGCTTTATATTATATTATTTATACATACATACACTGGATAAAATGAATAAACTTTACAGCAATGTAAGTTTTCATGTACTCAATGTTTTAATTCTTTTGAGAAATAAATGACTCTAAACCGTATAACAACTCTTTGTGGTAGGTGGCACAATGAGTTTCATTCTGGACTTATTTAGTGTTAATGTAAAATTTATTAATAACTTGACTGCAGTACCACTTATCGGTTTCAGTTTAACAAATTATATTGTGAATATGAGTCTTTAACTTTGTACTGGCGGTGTTAGAATGACCACTACCCCTTATCGTCCCATGCGTGTCGTAAGAGGCGGCAGAGGGAAACTGAAACACGATATGGGCAGCAGCATCTACCTGATAACAAATCAATATAGTAAAAAACTGCGCTTGCCAACTCGCCTGCCAAGCGTAGCAACTATGGCAAAACCCCCACAATGAGGCAACTATGGGCCTTCCCATGTTCTTTTTTCAGCAGTGGACTTTTAAAGGCTGCAATAAGCAGGGTAGATATTAACCATTGTCAATTCAATAAATATTAACAATAAGAGTGCCGCTAATCGGATCCTAACATAGCTATGAACCATCATCTTGACAAAACAAATGTACATAATACTGGGTGCGTTTGGCAGAAAAAAGCGCTAGCAAGCGCTTGTACCGCAAAATGGCGATCGTAAGCGGTAAGCGCTGTCAAATCGTAAGTAGCTATTTTCCTTCGGGACACGATGATAGTTTTAACGGAGAACCTAACCTAATTTAAATATATGTTTGTAAAGTATTCATATTAAAAACTTACCAATCATGAATTTTTAATAACATATATATGTTTATTCATGTCAATATATTACTTAAAACTAATATTGCACAAAACAACTTATAAACTCTACTTCAAAACAAACAAATTAAATAAGCAAAATGGCGGATTGTGTCAGCGCTACTAAAGTAGCAATCGTGTCCTGGCCGAAAACTATTTCAGCGCTTGTAAGCGCTTGCTAGCGCTTTTTTCTGCCAAACGCACCCACTGTGTAAATATGACCTGAATCGGTCAACTCGTTCAGAAGTTACATGATCACTCACACACAGCATAATAAGGATTACATTATACAAAGATATTTATATGATAGTTTCAAAACTTAGACATTAAAATATATTTTTGTAATTTCCAGAACGGTCTGGTATGAGCTACTGTGTGGTGAATACCCTTTCAAGGGGCAGCCGCCTGAGGCGATCATATGGCAAGTGGGGAAGGGAGCTAAGCAGTCACTGTCTAACATGCAAGCTTCTCGAGATATCAAAGTAAGAATTTCAATAGTATACTAGTGATTTGTTTAAATTAGTTGTAAATTCGTTTGTTTGTGGGTGAAAAACGAACACATAGTACAACTGATGGTAAGTGCATGTTGCGCCCTAAAGATTCCTACATCTCTGTTCTAAATTAATCAAATCTGTTACTCTTGATGAATGATGAATGGATAGATGCAAGTATCCAGTTAAAAGGATTTCCGATTCTGGTTACACGCGGTCTATGCGCGATTTAGAAACAAAATGAGTTGTCATCCTCGCAGACTAAGATGGAATACTTGGTAACTAGTAAAAAGGATTTCAGATTCTCTACACTCACCATACGAATCACAGCAACATTATCCTGCTATTTAACGTTGGTATTCTGTGTATGCTTTCTCCTTTTGTGCTGGAGTTATTACAATACACAACAGATTGGCACCTGTGGGGTATTTGTATGGCCTATAAATAATTGTCAGGAAAATCCCAGAGTTGAGGTAACATTTGTTAAAAATAAAAATCTCCTTTTATATTGCAGGATATTTTAATGCTGTGCTGGTCATACCGTGCGAACGAACGACCTGATTTCCCCCACCTCCTGTCAACACTGGAGAAGCTGCCGCGTAAGAGGCTCGCTCGGTCTCCCTCGCACCCCGTACATCTGTCTCGCTCTGCGGACTCGGTGTTCTGAGAGCGGCTCGCCGGCGCACTGTGTGTGCGACCCTAGCACGCTGCACACTGCGCGTAGAAGGTGAATTCACCTACATTCCTCGCAAAACTTCATGGGTTCTGGCGATATCACGTAAAAACTGCGCAATAGCTTGGTTTTCTAACCAACGAAGTGCTTAAGAGTTTCTACCTGGTCTAAATCAGAGCGAGACGCAACGATAACTTTCTACTCACACACTCGTTTTCTTCCGATGAGTAACGCCTATTGAACCCAAAGAGATTTGTGGGGATTACTCTATGCGCGCACGATATGAATGGGACTGTCAAACTGACAATTCGCTTCGCATAACGTGATAACTTCAAAGCATCGTGTAAGGTATGCAAAAAAAGTTAGCGATATATTTTAAAACTATTTATTTTTTTCGTCCAGCTATATGTATTAAACATTGTTACGTTTTTTTAAGCTACAAATATTGATATCTAAATTATGAACAAGCTATGTGGAAAGCCTCACAGCAGCGAAAATCCGATAGACTGTAACGGATAAACTTATTATCTGGCCGTATAAAAATGACAGTTACAGAGAGTTGTCAGTGATTGCGATCCTATGTTTATCGTGCGCAAGTAGTATATAGTGACGAGCACACAACATGACCAACAACAATATTGAGACAAATGGACATCAGGCACGCGTATTTATATCTCTGTTTAGCGTTTATTTGTGGCAACATTTCTATCACGAGAACCTATCCTTCTACCGCATTTTATTACAACCTAGGTTCGGTTCAGGTTTCATTTAAGCGATTGAAACTAGGTGGAAGAAACGCATTCTTACATTTTGTATTATAGAATATCTGTTACCAAAATTTTTTTTCGGAACCGCCTGTCCCTGAGTAGCACTAACTACTCCTCTTAGCTCTCCCGAAACCTCAAAATCTAAGTAACGTCGGTCAATATGAGATACAGTATGGTATTAAATGAAAATAACACCAATATCATGTCGAGATGCAGCATCAATTATATCGTATTACATCATCTCCTTCGAACAACAACTTTGTTTTGATAATCAATGGGTGCGTTTGGCAGAAAAAAGCGCTAGCAAGCGCTTGTAAGCAAAATGGCGATCGTAAGCGGTAAGCGCTGTCAAATCGTAAGTAGCTATTTTCCTCTAGGACACGAAGTTAGTTTTAACCGGGGAACTTAACCTAATTTAAATATATGTTTGTAAAGTATTCATATTAAAAACTTACCAATCATGAATTTTTAATAACATGTATAATATGTTTATTCATGTCATTATATTACTTGAAACTAATATTGCACGAAACAACTTATAAACTCTACTTCAAAACAAACAAATTAAATAAGCAAAATGGCGGATTGTGTCAGCGCTACTGAAGTTAGCGAACGTGCCCTGGCCGAAAACTGTTTAGTTTCGCCATTTTGCTTACAAGCGCTTGCTAGCGCTTTTTTCTGCCAAACGCACCCAATACGTCGCTACTTTCCCCCATCTGTCAACTAAAGTGTTGCCCTCTTAGCAACTTTATTTCTGCTTATACTTAGTGCGCGTTCGCGACAATATCGTCGTAACGTAACATATGCCTAAAACATATCATCATCACCATCACCATTACAGCCTTTGACAAATCCACTGCTGAACACAGGTCTGCCCCAAGGAATGACACAAAGCACGGTCCTGAGTCACCCGCATCCATCGACTTCGTGCATCTCTTACCAAGTCGTCACTCTATCTGATAGAGGTCACTTCATTTACTAGTACGAGGCTGCTACTCAAAAACCTTAAAACATATGGTGTTTTTTTATTCTGTACGATTTTCTTTGCTATAATTAGATTGATTAGATCAATGATATCGTTTTGGAAGACTTAAGGGAGTTTGAAATTATCGTAACTAGTTACACTAGTCCAAAATGTAGCGCAGTGACTTCGGAAACAATGAATCAATCCAGACATAATTGTATTCTTACGGTACACCTATTTCATTATGGTATCAAAAGTAAATCTACATACTATTCATCAATAATAATAAAAAATAAAAATGATAAAAAATGGCTTGTTTATGTAAGCCCTCAAACATATTTATGTAAGAATACAGATAAATTAATATAACAGCCTAGACATCTACCGCAGCGTAATTTACCAACTAGGGCCGATGCAGATGCAAAGGTAAAACCTTTTGCTAGCTAGTATCATAAACGGAGCAGCGTAAAAGTCTAAAAGTCTAAAGTAATACCTATCTTTATTTCAACAAAAGATTCAATCAAATGGTGTGACATTGCGCAGATGTAAATTAGCGAATTGATTAGATAGTAAAAGAAAACTTTTATTTTTATAATATTATTGTTTACGAACCTTGTCTGCGTTGAGCAACAAATATTGCCGAAAAAACTATGCAAATTGACTTTCGGGTTACGGAGGAGATAGATCTCAAAGAATCGTTTTCTTGCGCCATGGGAGCTCCGCTCCAATGAACAAAGGACTGTATTAGTTTTAAAACTACAAACGTGGTAGAGCTATACTGCAGTTATATTGATGGTGTAGTTGTAGCACGAATGGGTCGGCTCGACCGGGGAAGGACCACGCTCTCACAGAATACCAGCGTAAAATAGTAGCTTAATGCTGCGTTTCGTATGGTTAGTGTAGAGAACCGGAGACCCTTTTTACTGGAAACGTGGCCTTCCATCTTAGTTCTCACAGGTGACAACGGATCTGCATTATGATGCGTAATCGAGGAAGAGATGAATACGAGATGTAGATGTCTATAGGCCACAGTGACCACTTACCATCAGGTGGACTGTGTGATCGTTTGTCACTATTTCCTATTAAAAAAAACATATTATATTCAACTAATTCATACATTTATGTATAGCAATTATTTATTGATTTAGTTATACAGAACAGCTTATGTAACTAATAAATTAATAATTGCAATAATATCAAAATACCAGCAGGTTGAGTGAGATCTGGATAATAATTCAACATACATACAACATAATAGCAATTTAAGGTAATTGCACGGACATAGTTGCTTTTGGCATTGAACATTATATTTCATATTTCACAATTGGTCTTGCCGATCCGCAATTTTGTCTAAGTTGTATGTAATTCCCAATTAAAAATAAAATTTGTTAAAGTTAACCGCTTTAACAGACTGTTTTTTTACAGTCATGCATCCTACATAGTACAATGAAAGGATTTAAAATATGTATGTATAATCGGAATAATATCTACCTGAGGACTTGAATGTATAAACTTGTGTGCGTGTGCGTGCGTGCGTGCGTGCGTGTGTTTGTATGCTACTTTAGCTCGAATTTTATAATGTTTATCTTTTCTCCCATAATGACTAATCGGTTATTGATTATTAAATTATTATTGCAATGCAGTAAAATTATTGTTTCAAGTGATGTTATATTAGAGCTGTCGACTATTAATAGTAATAGATGAAGTTGTGTGTGATGCAACATATTATTGTGACGAATGAAAATATTAATAAAGGTGTTGTTGGTCATATGGTTGTGATGCGACTATTGAGCATTGTCGTTAACTGTCGAATTTAATAAGTACTCATTGTCTACACTCGATAGTTTAATGTTTGAATTTGTTACTATACTTCGTTATAGTTTCGATAATGTCAAAACAAAAATTAAAAATTAAAAAAGGTCAAAATTGGGTAGACGAGGTAAGACAACTGTTTATTGTTGAAATATGTAAACTTTGTAAATATAAATTTTAAAGTCGCTAGATTTTGCTTTTCAAATTTTAATGTTCTATAAATAATAAATTAATTATTGTGTATTAATTAGGCGTCTATCTGGTTTACGGTCCTCGTCTCCCCGATTTTGCAATCATTGTTATATATTTTTTATTAACAAACGGGTTTATTGATGCCTAGCGTAAAGTTTGTAAGTAGTTAAATTTATAAAATTTGAAGAAAAAAAACAACAACTATAACTACTTTATTGTAATCTATTTTGTATAGGTACACATAAGTTTTGATCTCTAATTAAATAATAAATTAAATTATATTTTCGTATTTAAAAAGGTAAAAAAAAAATCACCGCGTGTCGTTATTGTTATGAAATTGTAAATAATGTATAGTGTTGCGTGAAGCAGAGCGCGTCGGGTGCACCCTAACGGTCGATTGTACATCACAGTTGTAAAGTAAAAGTTTCAAAACATAACCTTATGCCGCTGAGATAAGATTCAATATCAGGTTAAAATCATCTTACGTGACACCTGGATAGGGCTGGTCCCAATTTGGATTTTATTTATTTGATTTGATTTAAAGTATAATTTTAAATTTAAACTACTCTTAACATGGGTTGATGGAGTAAGTTGAAGTAGAATAAGGCTGTAATATAAATAATGTAATAACTTGTTTTACGTTAAATGAATCCTGTGACAGATAAACCTAATGAACAGAACACTCATAAGGTTTATTAAAGTTGTTTTATAATAAAATATGTTTGCAGTAGCAGTTTGTGTGTATGCTAAGTATTTCGTATGGTAAGTTGAGAACTGGAGACCCTTTTTACTGGAAACGAAACATTCCATTTTAGTCTTCAGAGGTGACAACGCATCGAAATTTTGATACTTAATCGAGGATAGATGTAGACGTCTATGGGCCACAGCATCAGGTCTGAACTGTGTGCTCGCTTGTTACTTGAAATACCTCCTTTTATGAAGTCGGTTGAAAATAAAACCTGATTTGCTTACCCTCGAAGGAACGTTTCGTGTGCGAAAACATATTAAAAAAACGAATTTTTTAATATGCTTGATCTATCTCCGGTTGTGTTGGATTGCCTTCCTTTCAGACGTTGAGAATGAAGGAATATAAAGTGCATAAGAAGCTGTGCTTCTTGAGCGCTTCTGTGCTAAGGGCTATATAATAAGTAAACAGTAATTAAAAGCCACGTACCTATTAAATTTAAATTGGTTTTAGTTCCTGAAGTATTAACTCACTATTAAATAATTAAACTAATTATTAAAAAAAATTTCTTTCC